AGACACCCCAGTTCCTCACCTGAAATAGAGACCCTAGTTCCTCCCTGAAGATTAGAGACCCTGGGTTCCTCACCTGGAAGATTAGAGACCCAGAAGTTCCTCACCTGAAGATTAGACACCCTGTAGTTCTTGCTCCTGGGAAGATTAGACACCCTAGTTCTCTCTCCCCCTAAAAGATTAGACACACCCTAGTTCTCACTCTGAAGCTTAGAGACCCTAGTTCCTCACCTGAAGATTAGAGACCCTAGTTCCTCTGAAGATTAGGAGACCCCAGTTCACCAGGAGACCCTAGTCTTCACTCTGAAGATTAATAGGAGACCCTGAAGGTTCCTCACCTGAAGATTAGAGACCCTAGTCTCTGCCTGAAGATTAGAGACCCTAGTTCCTCACCTGAAGATTAGAGACCCTAGTTCCTCACCTGAAGATTAATAGAGACCCTAGTTCCTCACCTGAAGATTAGAGACCCCTAGTTCCTCACTCAAGAGCTAGAGATCTTGTCTTCACCTGAAGATTAGAGGACCCTAGTTCCTCACTCTGAAGAGATGAGAGAGACCCTAGTTCTCTACAAGAAGATTAGACACCCTAGTTCTCACCTTAAAGATTAGAGACTCCTAAATTCACTCTTGAAGATTAGAGTAATCCTAGTTCCTCCCCTGAAGATTAATAGAGACCCTAGTTCTCACCTGGAAGATTAGAGACCCTAGTTCCTCACCCAGATTAGACACCCTAGTTCTCACAATTAAGATTAGGTCCAGTTCCTCATCATGATGAGATTAGAGGACTCCTGTTCTCACAATTTGAAGAAGGCAGAGACCTCTAGTTCTCACCTGAAGATTAGACACCTAGTTCTCACTCTGAAGATTAGAGACCTCAGTTCCTCACCTGGAAGATTAGAGACCCTAGTTCCTCACCTTGAAGATTAGAGACCCTAGTCTCACCTGACGATTGGGAGAGACCCTAGTTCCTCTGCCTGACGATTACAGAGACCCTAGTTCACCTGAAGATTAGAGACCCTAGTTCCTCACTTGTTGATTAGAGACCCCAGTTCCCTCTACCTGAAGATTAGAGACCCCAGTTCCTCACTGAAGATTAGGAGACCCTAGTTCCTCACCTGGAAGATTAGAGAGACCCTGTCTTCACCTGAAGATTAGGAGGCAGGACCCCAGTCTCCTCACCTGAAGATTAGGAGACCCTAGTTCCTTCCTGAAGATTAGAGACCCTAGTCTCTACCTGAAGATTAGAGACCTAGTTCCTCACTTGAAGATTAGAGAACTCAGTTCTCACCTGAAGATTAGGAGACCCAGTTCCTCACTCAAGGAAGATTAGAGAGACCCTAGTTCCTTCCTGAAGATTAGACACCCTAGTTCCCTCACCTGAAGATTAGAGACCCTAGTTCTCACCTGAAGCTTATATAGACCCTAGCTCTCACCCACCTGAAGATTATTAGAGACCTAGCCTCACCTGATGATTAGAGACCGTGCTCCTCACCTGATGATTAGAGAGTATCTCTAGTTCTCACCTGGAAGATTAGAGACCCTAGTTCTCACTCTGAAGATTAGGACACACCCTGGGTTCCTCCCTGAAGATTAGAGACCCTAGTTCTCACCTTCCTGAAGATTAGAGACCCTAGTTCCTGAAGATTAGAGACTCCTAGTCTTCACCTGAAGTGATTAGAGACCCTAGTTCCTCCCTGAAGATTAGACACCCTAGTTCTCACTCTGAAGATTAGAGGTCTTAGTTCTCACCTGAAGATTAGAGAGAGACCTAGTTCACTCTTGAGATTAGAGACCCTAGTTCCTCACCTGAAGATTAGAGAGACCCTGTGTCTTCACCTGGAAGATTATTAGAGAGAGAGACCCCAGTTCCTCACCTGAAGATTACACACACATAATAGAGACTTGGGTTCTCACTCTGAAGATTAGAGACCCCTAGTTCCTCACCTGGAAGAGGAATAGGAGACCCTAGTTCTCTCACCTGAAGAGCTTTCACAGAGACCCTAGTTCCTCACCTGAAGACAGACCCTAGTTCCTCACTCCAGATTAGACACCCTAGTTCCTCACAATTGAAGATTAGAGACCCTGTCTCTACCTGAAGATTAGATAATCTTTAGTTCCTCACTCTGGAAGATTAGAGACCCAGTTCCCCCTCTGAAGATTAGACACCCTAGTTCTCAACTCTGGGAAGATTAGAGATTCCTAGTTCCTCACCTGAAGATTATTAGAGACCCTAGTTCCTCACCTGAAGATTAGAGACCTTGTCTCACCTGAAGATTAGATTCAGTTCTCACCTGAAGATTAGACACTTTGGGTTCCTCACCTGAAGATTAGAGAGACCCTAGTTCCTCACCTGAAGATTAGAGACCCCTAGCGTTCCTCACCTGAAGATTAGAGACCCTAGTCTTCACCCTGAAGATTAGAGAAAGACCTTAGTTCCTCACTTTGAGATTAGAGACCCTAGTTCTCACCTGAAGATTAGAGGTTCACCTGAAGATTAGAGAGACCCTAGTTCCTCACCTGAAGATTAGACACCCTTGTTCTCCTGAAGATTAGAGACCCTAGTTCCTCACTCTGAAGCGAGACCCTAGTTCCTCACCTGAAGATTAGACACTGTTCCTCCCTGAAGATTAGAGACCCTAGTCTTCACTGAAGATTAGAGACCTCTAGTTCTCACCTGAAGATTAGACACTCTAGTTCCTCACCTGGAAGAATAGAGAGACCCTGTCTTCTGAAGATTAGACACCTCCAGTTCCTCACCTGAGTTTAGGAGACCCTAGTTCCTCCCCTGAAGCTTAGAGACCTTTAGTTCTCACCTGAAGATTAGTGACCCTAGTTCCTCACTCTGAAGATTAGACACCCTAGTCTTCACCTGAAGATGACATTAGATACAATTTAGTTCTCACCTGAAGATTAGAGAGACCTAGTTCTCTCACTCAAGATTAGACACCTAGTTCTCACACTCAAGATTAGAGACCCAGCTCCCTCACCTGAAGACAGGAGACCCTAGTTCCTCACTCTGAAGATTAGAGACCCTAGTTCTCACTGGAAGATTAGAGAGAGACCGTTCCTCACCTGAAGATTAGAGACCCCAGCTCCTCACTCTGAAGATTAGAGACCCAGTTCCTCACCCAGCATTTTGAGACCCTAGTTCTCACCCAAGATTAGAGACTCAGTTCCTCACCTGGAAGATTGTGAGACCCCATTCTCAACGACCCTAGTTCACCTGAAGATTAGAGACCCTAGTTCTCACACTCTGAAGATTAGAGACCCTAGTTCCTCACCTTGAAGATAAGAGACCCTAGTTCCTCACCTGAAGATTAGAGACCCTAGTTCACCGAAGATTAGAGACACCCCAGTTCCTCACCTGAAGATACAAGAGACCCTAGTTCCTCACTCCAGAGCTAGGAGACACCCTATGCCTCTCTACTCTGAAGATTAGAGACCCTAGTTCCTCACCTGAAGATTAGAGACCTAGTTCTCACCTGAAGATTAGAGACCAGAGTCTTCACCTTGAAGATTAGGAGAGACCCTAGTTCCTCCTGATGATTAGAGAGACCCTAGTTCCTCACTGGAAGATTAGAGACCCTAATTTCACCTGAAGATTAGACACCTTAGTTCTCACCTGGAAGATTAGAGACCTCAGTTCTCACCTGAAGATTAGAGACCCTCTAGTTCCTCACTCCGAAGATTAGAGGACCTGTCTCCCTCACCTGAAGATTAGAGACCCTAGCTCCCTCACCTAGAAGATTAGAGACCCAGTTCCTACCTGAAGATTAGACACACCAGTTCACCTGAAGATTGTAGACCTTAGTTCCTCACCTTAAAGATTAGAGACCCCAGTCTCACCTGAAGATTAGAGACCCTAGTTCTCACCTTGAAGATTAGACACCCCTAGTTCCTCACCTTAGAAGATTAGACACCTCTAGTCTCATCTGAAGATTAGAGACCCCAGTTCCCACCTGAAGATTAGACACCCCAGGCTCCTCGCACTGAAAGATTAGGAGAGAACTTGGGTTCCCTCACCTGAAGATTAGACACACCAGTTCTCGCCTGAAGATTAGAGAGACCCTGTTCCTCACCGAAGATTAGAGACCCCAGTTCCTCACTCCGGAAGATTAGAGACCCAGTTCTAATTCTGAAGATTAGAGACCCCAGTTCTCACCTGATGATTAGGAGACCCTAGTTCCTCCTGAAGATTAGAGATCTTGCCCTCACCTGAAGATTAGGAGACCCTAGTTCCTCACCTGGAAGATTAGAGACCTTAGTTCACACTTGAAGATTAGAGACCCTAGTTCCTCACCTGGAAGATTGAGACCCTAGTTCCTCACCTGAAGATTATTAATAGACACACCCTTTAGTTCTCACCTGAAGATTAGAGACCGAAGTTCTCACCCATGACACCTCTAGTTCCTCACCTGGAAGATTAGAGACCCTAGTTCCTCACCTGAAGATTAGAGACCCTAGTTCACCTGAAGATTAGAGACCCCTAGTTCCCTCACCTTAGAAGATTACAGGTAACTCTAGTTCCTCACTCTGGATGATTAGAGACCCTAGTTCCTCACCTGAAGATTAGAGACCTTGTCCTCACTTCCGAAGATTAGAGACCCTTAGTTCTCATCTGAAGATTAGAGACCCTAGTTCTCCCTGAAGATTAGAGACCCTAGTCCTCGCCTGGAAGATTAGAGAGACCCTAGTCTTCACCTGAAGATTAGACACCCCTAGGTTCCTCACTAAAGATTAGAGACCCTAGTTCCTCACCTGGAAGATGAGACCCTAGTTCCCACCTTAGAAGATTAGATACACCCTAGTTCTCACTCTGAAGATTAGACCCTAGTTCCTCACTCTGAAGATTAGAGACCTCTAGTTCCTCACCTGAAGATTGACACCCTAGTTCTCACTCCTTGAAGATTAGAGACCTTGTCTCACCTGAAGATTAGGACAATCTTGAAGTCTCCCTCACCTAAGATTAGAGAGACTAAGTTCTCATCTGGAAGATTAGAGACC